ATAATATATTCATAAGTATCTTATGTATATTATGAGAAATATACATAATACAAACAATATATATATATTTTACAATATTGTTATTGTTTTAACCTCAACTGTACGTACATATAAGTCTGAATGTGTGTGTTTTGTCATTACCTGCTGTCCATATGATCAGAGATCCAAAGTCTTGTTGGCTACGGTCACGAACATTTTTCCGTTTTTTTTTTTTATTTTTTTTATTTGTATATGTTTTCTTCTTTTTTGGGAAGGAAATGAAAATTTGCCTTAGCCTTTGTTTTCTGTTTCTGTACTTTTTTCTTGGGTAAACTTTTGAGTGCGTTTTGAGGTATTTCGTAAGATCAGCATACATGTGTGTATGTGTACGCTGTGAGTGTAGAGAAGAAGAGGAAGAAGAAGCAGAAGACAGAGTCGAGTCTCTGAAGACTCCAAGTTGCGTCTTCTTTCATCTTTGGTAATTGAGCGTTGAAATGTTGTAATCTCCCCGCAACCTACATGAAGGTGGCAAACGTGTTTAACTCTTTTTTTTACCTTTGCGTCATACGCAAACAGAAAGGAGCGGAAAGGGGAGAGGGGTTGAAAGGAGAGAAAGAGAGGGCGACACGTTTTCACGTGCATCACGTTGAAAGTTCCCTCTTAACTGCATTTTATGCGGTTTTCTTCTCGTTTTTTGGGGTTTCGGGTTTTCCCTATGAGGTTTTAAGGTTCCTCCTTTTATGGTCTCGTTTTTATAAATTTTGTAGCCCTTTAGGTCATTATTGTTGGATTTATCAAAGAGATTTCTGTAATTGGTATATATTAAATAAATATATTTAACAGTATTGATATTAAATAAAATATTTTAGGTAGCTGTAATTCCTTTGATAGGAAAACACCTTCTTTAATAATTTAAATCTAATTCAAATTAATTTAAAAATTTCCTGTTGTTATATTTATTAAACAAATCATCTTTATTATTCTATTTGTTAATACAAGTTTATAAATAATTATGAAATCTTAAATATTTTGTGCGGTTTTGTTATTTATGAACTCCTCAAAAATGCTGATTTTTAATGGGTGATGATGGGGGCCCTTCTTTTTGTTTCTCCGCTTTGTAGTTCCGTTTTTGGTTAGTTAAGGAATTGGACTTGGGGCTCAGGCTTCGGACTTGGACTCCGACTTGGACTCTGGGGAGTGAAAGTTTATTTAGTGACCACGTTTTTTATTATATGGTATATACACATGTAGTTTTTATGCTCCTTTCGGCGGAATCTTATGCAATTGGTTGGGTTTTCGGTTGGGCTTTTTAATGGGGTTTCCATCGGCAGGGCCTTTGCATCCTTATTTGGGGTACCCACTCCGCGGAGTTGTTAATATTTTGCATTTCTTAATGAGTGATTTAGTCTCTTCTTTTGGAGACGAACATTTTTTTTGGGGCACGTTAATTACCCGTAAAATATTACGTATACGCAACGCTAATTGATTTTTTTGGGTGACTGGCAAAGGGAGGAGCATTTGTGAAAGAAACAATATAAAAATTAGTTTGAAGCTACCATAAACATGAAACAACTACAAATTAACTGTAATCTAATGTTGTAATAAAAAAAGATTAGATAAAGTTAAATTTTAAAATTACAAATACAATTAAAAGTATTAAATCGTGGACTATAATAATCAGTAAATAATAATGATAACACTAAAATAAAAATTATTAAACAATTAAAAAATACAATAAAATTTAATTTATTATAAAAAGAATCAAACATAAATATATTTTAAAAATTACCTTTTGAAATGTATACAACAAAACTTAAAAAAACTTCTTGCCTAAATATAAAACTAAAGAGACTACAAATTATGAATTACCAAATATGCAAAACTCTTTCAAAAGAATGACAAATAAGCTTAACAAAATTCCCCAACAGCTTAATAACTGTATTTTAATAACCGAAATACCCCCAGAAACCCAAGAGACACAATAACTTTATATTAAACTAGCAAAAAGCCCAAAGCAATGCTTATTAAAAAAAAAGCGTGAATAGGCGAAACAATAACAATAACAAAAAACATAGAAATAGGAAACGAAAACGCGCCACATGAAAACCGTGTCATGAACAAATGCAACAAAACCAGCAAAAACAACAATGAGAAACCCACAAACTAATTGAGACCAAAACACAGACACAAAACGGAAAGAAAAACGAAGAAACTAAACCAAGCAGCAGCTGCAGTGGCAACAAAACCAAATAAAATCAAAAAGAAAAAAATACTAATATAAAAAAAACTGCTGAAGAAGAGACGAAAAATTCCCAGTTTATTTGAGTGAGTAAGAAATTACAAAATAGCCACTTGAAAAGTTAAGGCTTAAAGGCTTTCATAATGCCGTTGCTTTTGGCTATCATCCCAAACAGTTGAGGAAGAAAGTTTAGAAACGTGGCTTGGGTTTTGCACTCCTAATGTTTCTTATGTTTTATAGAAAAAGCTATTCTAAAAAGTATAAAACCAATTTAAAATTAAAATGTACATTTCTAGCATCAAATTAATCTAATTGATTTTATTTTTTTGCCCACGACTGTATTTCCGAAAGAATGACTTATTGTTGTTGCTCCGCACAGTGGTGTACAGTGGGCCCAAAGTCATGCCAAAAGGTTTCACTTTCGCTTTCCGTTTACCTTTGAGTTGGCGCTTGTATTTGCGCTTGTGTTTGTGTTTCGAGTCAGAGTTTGAATTTCAACAGCAAAGCAACAAAAACAAAGGCCCCAAAAAAGGGGGGCACTAAGTCAAGCCAGGCAGCGCTGCCTTTGCATACGAACAGAGAGAGAACGTGCCAGCAGCCGCAGCTAGAGAGTGTGCCAGCGGGAGAGCGGTGGAGCACAAGCAGCGAGAGAGCCCAGCTCTATCGAAAGTGAAACGAACAAGCCCGCGAACGAGTGAGCAAATAAACGAACGACCCACCGAGCGTATACGTAATACCCGAAACTGTCGAGTGAGAGCGAGAGTGTAACGCCGACAGCGACCGAGGCAGCGCTGCCAGCCAGAGCAGCGACGCCGACTGAGGCAGCGGCAGCACTATAGTGTATTGCGGTATCCTCGCCGTTTACTTGGGTTTAGTCAATCGAGATACGTGGTTGATGTTGGTCGTGTTTTTCGCACAGCACAGTCTATATAACTTACACACACACACACACAACCGACATACACACACAGGCACGCAAAAGTTACAGCTAACGAAATATTATTAACAAGAAAAATGTGCGCGTGTGAGCGGTGACCCGAATATCGTCGATATCGAAACAACAAAAAATACAAAAAATAAACAAAGCAGCAGCCACCACCGTTGCGAAATACCATAGATAAAAAGTATAACCGATGCGAAGTTGCATTCGCGAATATCTGCGAAAATATATCCAGCGTGTAATTAAAGCTGCACACCTCACTCACACACAGCAGAAAACAGCCCCAGGATTATGTTCTCTTGCTGCGTTGCGTGAGTGTATGCTTAAAGTTTAAAGTTTAAACAACAACAAAGTTTGTGTTCTCCACAATCCGCAATCCAAGCAACAAATAAGAAAATCGAAAATTCAATAAAATATGTGCACAAGTGTATATAGAGTGCAATTAGATCCGTGACCCACTTTCAATCAATCAACAAAAATAATCAAAATAAAAGAAGGAAAAAGAATACAACGTACGAATGCAAAAGTGAAAAAATACTACAACAAAATCGAGTGTTTGCCAATCGTTTCAATTCAACAACGCACACAATCAATAAATATACATAGTAGGATATATAGAAACAAAAGTTTATAAACAAAAAATCATCCTTTTTGCTGTCAACTCTACATAAAAATATATATTATATATTAATATATATCTCACTCACCTCGTCAAAGTACCTGCAAAATAACACTTAAAAAATTTAAGCGAACAACGCAAACCATTTCTTCAAAGGAATATTCGTTACAACAAATAATAACATACATAAAAATATCAGAAACCCTTAAAAAAATTTAAATAATTACATTTCTTATAAAGAATAATTCATAATAAAAAACAAAATTGTATATAATACATTTTTCTTCTTCTAAAGAACCCCGCGAAACAATTCCAAAACATTTCTTGCAAAGAAATTAAAACCAAAATAATATTACTGTGTTAAATACCATTAAAATATGTCAAGATATTATGATACATTTTAACAAGAAGCACTGTTAAAGCACACGCACTCTTTAAAATGTTGCAAATATTCAAAAATAATGTTCAAAAATTGAGTGCAAAAACCAGACCACCGTACAAGGATTACAAGGATCTATTTTACTATCAAATTTAAACAAGAGAGCGAGGCACCCTCAAAAGGTCAAGAAAACAACAAATTATAATATAAATAAATTAAAGCTTCCGTCCAGGAAATAAAATATAAAAAAAAACCCTTATCCCTACAAAAACCCAAACCAAAGGAAAAGGAATACATACAAAATTAATTACCTTTCCGAATTCAAGGGTATAAAACTTACATGAAATGTTATTAGAAATGGATCAGCAACAGGCGACCGTACAGTTTATATCGTCGCTGAATATATCGCCGTTCAGCATGCAGCTGGAGCAGCAGCAGCCCTCCAGTCCTGCTCTGGCCACGGGCGGCGGCGGCGGCGGTGGTAACAGCAACAATAACAATAGTGGCAGTAGCAACAACAACAACAACAGCACCACCAGCAGCAGCAACAACAATAACAACAATGACAATGTCTTGACCAAGTTCGAGCATGAATATAATGCGTATACGCTGCAATTGGCGGGAAGTAACAGTGGTGGCAATCAGCAACACCACAATGCCCACCACCAGCAACAACAGCAGCAGCAGCAACAACAGCAGCAACACCAGCAGCAGCAGCAACAACAGGAGCATTACCAACAACAACAGCAGCAACAACAGAATATAGCCAACAATGCCAATCAATTCAACGCGTCATCCTACTCGTATATATACAATTTCGATTCACAGTATATATTTCCGACAGGCTATCAGGACACCACCTCCTCGCATTCCCAACAAAGTGCCGGCGGCGGCGGAGGTGGCGGTGGCAATGGCGGCAACCTCCTGAACGGCAGCTCCGGCGGCTCATCCGTCGGCGGTGGCTATATGCTCCTCCCCCAAGCGGCCAGCTCCAGTGGCAATAACAATAACACTGGCGGCGGCGGTCACATGTCCTCCGGCTCTGTGGGCAATGGCGGCGGTAATGGTGGAGGCGGCGGAGGAGGAGGAGCAGGAGGAAACTCTGGTGGTCCAGGCAACTCGATGGGTGGCACAAGTGCCACGCCAGGACATGGCGGCGAGGTGATCGATTTTAAGCATTTGTTCGAGGAACTGTGCCCCGTTTGCGGCGACAAGGTCAGTGGCTATCACTACGGCCTGCTCACCTGCGAGTCCTGCAAGGGCTTCTTCAAGCGCACCGTGCAGAACAAGAAGGTGTATACCTGTGTGGCGGAGCGATCCTGCCACATTGACAAGACGCAGCGCAAGCGGTGTCCTTACTGCCGGTTCCAGAAGTGCCTCGAAGTCGGCATGAAATTGGAGGGTGAGTTTGAGATTTTTATATTATTTACTATTTATTATTTATTTAGAAAATGAAAATCATTTTAAGAACTCCTAAGATGGTTAGGGAAGTTATCGGAAGTTTAAATTATATTCATATATCTCACTATATACTCTTTTCTGTTAAATATGAATTAAGGCTATTAGTTTTCTAGGCATTTTGCCTTCTTATCTTTGATTCTTTTATATTACATACATTTATTCTTATAATTATTCCCTAGTTCAAATACCTTCTAGGCGTTTCTTAAAAACTATTTGAACGTTAACTTTTTACCAATAGTCACGTATTTTCCACTGACCCTCAATCAAAAGTTATTTACAACATTGCGTATGAGTGATGTCCATCCGACAACCTTGTGGAAGTAATGGATAAAAACTGTTTAATACGCATACAAGCTATCAAGCATTGGAAACTTCTGGGAATCAGATATTCAGTTAAAATAGCTACGCATTTGATTTCTTAATCATGAACTGGGTTTAAATTTAAATGCAAAACAATAAGATGAATCAAGGACCTATTACTTACTACTATTAGTGTGAAACAAGAGATGCTTCATGCAATGAGTAATGTAAGACTAATGAATAGGATCCGAAAGAATAGAATTCCAAAACGAAATTTAAATGTTGCCTTGCATTTCTGGCAGTTAGTCAGGTTTACTTAGTACTAAATGAACCTTTGTTCTTTATAATAAGAGTTGAGAATGGGAACTTAGTATTTTGCTAAATATGTAATAACCTTGCGTATACTTAATATTTCTTAATTGTCCAAAGAAATGTCTTTTAGATAAAGAATTCATTGCTAAAAATGTCTTCTTTATCTTATAATAGTTCCCTTGTATTTCTAATACGACTTTTCATAGTTTCTGTAAGGCTTTTCCTGTCCATTTCCCCAAAAGTTTCCTCAAAAAATTGGCATTTGGCAAAACCAACTACTATTGGCAGCCAGCCTCAACCATGACCCCTTTTTCCCATACATTCGCTTGGGAGTGCCATCCATACTCGTCGTATATTAAATAGTACGAAATGGAATGGGTTGGAGTGGGCCTCGTCCCTTGTTTGCAGTTTTGGGCTTTCGCTTGTGGCGCTCCTGCAGTCGTCGAAATGAAATTAAATCGATATTTCTTATTATTTATAAATGCGCAGCAAACTACAAAGGCGGCGGCGGTGGCGGCTAACATTGAAATTCTTTGGGGAAATCGCTGGGCCCCCGAATCTGAAACTCGAAACTCGAAATGTGTGTTCCCTGCTGTCCCTAAGGAATTTCCGGCCAGCCGTTGGAGAATAGTCGAGTTATTTTAGAACCGCTTGCCACGGCATCATGAGTTATTAAACGCAGATTATGTAAATGTGCATTACTGATGTGATGTGGCCCCATTTCGGTTGTGTGTGTGTGTGTATGTGTATAAACAACGGCATTAAAAATGTATTAATAAGTGTATTTCCGTGGCCGTGTATCCCAGACCTATCCCAATTATTTATTTCGCTTCCTCTGCTTGTTATTATTATTATTGTTATTTTTACTTTTTTTTTTTGTCGTCGGGTAGGTCGGTCAGTCTGCGGTTTTTTCGTTGTTGTTCTTGGCTCTGTCACGTCTTAATGACGCCAGCTTTTGTCATTGTTGTCACTGCGTCAACATTTTATTTTTTTCTTTATTTTTTTTTCTTTTTGTTTATTACAGAAACTGCTGTTGTTCTCTTTTACCTCGTTCTCATTTACCTTTCGCTCTTTTGCGTTTGTTTTCTTTTTGGCTTTGCGGTTTATTTTATTTTCTCAACCGTTTCTTCAAGTAAACACTCCTAAAATATCTTTTTTATTAATATTTAAGGCCCTTTTCTTAAAAATAAATACTCGTATGATTTCTATAAGACTTAAAAGGCTTAAGACTTGCTTAAAACTTTTATATGAATTCTCAGTTAATTAATTTATTTATCTTTTCAAAATCCTTAAACATTTACCTAACTTAAATACTTTTTTCCTAATGATCATTTAAACTAATTCAGATATTGATATTTTTGTGTTTATTTTAGGTCAGTTCTTTCTTTTTATAATTTTTTAAATCTTTAAAAATCTTGATTTAGATGAAACAAAATGTTGTATTTCTTAATAATCCAATTGAATTGTTTGAACTTTAAACTTAAGTCTGGACAAATCGGATATTAATTTGAGCTGTGCAAAAACTTGGTCTTACCGTCTTTTCTTCTTGAAATTTAATCTCCTCCCTCTATTTTTTTTTAACTTTGCCTTATTACTTGCATAATTACTTTTTATCTCGCAAAAAATCGTACCTCATTTTCCTACCCTTTTTTTATTTTGTATATATAGTTTTCGTTTTTTGCGTAAGTCAAAGGGGAAAATAATAATAAAAAACTTTTCCTTTTTCGCTTCTGGCACACAAGTTGAGAGGGCGCCCTACAAAAACAAGCATGTGCTGTGGAATACAGTACACAGACATGTACTGCTATATCTACACTGAGGGAAATCGGTTGATGAGAAATGAAACATATTTTAAAGACTAAGCTTGAAAAATAAAAGAATAACAAATATTTAAAGGTTTTATAAACCTCAATGTAAATATAATAATTAAATCCGTTCGATTGTTAAAAATGTAAAAAAGGAATTAAACTTAATAGATGATTATTAGAAAATATTATTCAAATTTCAGAGATGTTTACAAAATAGTACAGATTACAAAACATACTATTTATCATAAAGTTGGCTTTATTAATTCCAAGATAAAGTAAAGAAGTAAATTACTCACTTTCATTTGTACACAAGTTTCGTCCTTTGAGATATTTTTCTATCTGTGCTTGTAAATAGTTTGCTATGTATAACCCACATATATACAGCCAGTGTTGTGTATATAGTGCAAAAATATATATCTACATACATGTATATTCAGAGTCAGTGCAGCATGCACCGGCGGCCCCAAAAGAATTCCACGCCCTCGCCCGCAATACGGTCGCTGTCGACGTCGCTCGGTCGCGAGAGAAGCGAGAGAGCTCTATAAAAGGGGTCGTGCTGAGAGCCAAACAAACTCAAAAAGCGGCAACTGAGCAGCAGAGAACCAAATAGAGAGAGACTTGCTTTCGCTCTCATTTGAAAATGTTTTGAATTTTGTAATAGTTTTTTTTTCGTCTTTGGTTTTTCCTGACTGACTGCTTTTGTGAACTGGATTCAAACTAGCGCGCGCAATTTTTGTTTCTTGTTTCTTTTTTCTCTATTTTGTATTTGTTGTGTTTTTTGTTTGTTTTTGTTTGTTACTTATCATTTGCAACGCTCACTTGCTTGCCACATGCTTGTGTTTCCCCTAGTTTTTTTCTGTTTGAATGTGGCACAGCGTCAAACAAACTCTGCAAATTATTATGCAAAGTGTGAAAAGTGTGAAAATTGTGATTGCCGAGAGAAACAATTTATTTATTTTTTGGTTAGTTATGTTTTGGGTAGAGTTTTTGACACCAAAATAAACTGTCATATGCTAAAAAAATGTGTGAATTTATGGCAGTTTTTATTGGAAACAATTTTCATTTGTGTAATACGATGTATTTATTAAACATTTTGTAACTTGTTAAATTGTTAAACAAAAAATGGAACAGCTGTTTTTAAATTACTAATGCTAAATCTTTTTAAGTATTATTTCCCGATACGATATTTTAAAATCATTTTATCGTGACCAATTTAAATGGTAATATATAAAAAATAAAACATTTTGTTTCATAAATTTTTATATATATATATTTTTTTTGTTTGGTTTAGTTTTACTATTTTAAGATATAAATGATCTCAACGTTTAATTTATAATAAATTGTATTCTATTTAGATTTTTAAATATTATTTTTTTTTTGAGAAATTTTTAGTTTTGCTGTGCCATTAGAGCCCGTATACTAATCCCCTTAGGATGATTGTACTTCCTGTTGTTAAGCCAAATTTAATCATTAGTCTTTTTTTTTTTTTGTTTATTTATTTTTTGGTTTGCATACATTTTACCAGAAATTCGAACAAAAATCGTTTTTCATTTGAGTTTTATTTGTTGCCTTTTTGGCTGAGCTGAGCGCTCTCTGTGGGCCACCGCTCTCCCACTCACGCACACACACACATAACACACTTGAGTCAGCCGGGGCAGCGACGCCGACTGTGCCGCCGGCAGCGAGAGCAAAACAAAGTGTATGCAATATAACTCAGTGGTACGTACATATATCAATGTATTGCCATCTCAGTTCCGCTTTCGTGTACTTGGCCCATAGTGCCATCTCTTGCGCTCATGACCTAGATTCCACAGTGTGCTGGTGTGAGTGCACGTGATATGGCAAAATGTTTGTCTCTCTCTCGGTGGATTTTTTGTTGTTGGCTGCGTGTGAGTGAGTGTGTGTAATCAATGCAACATGTAGCGTGAGTGTGTGCGTGTATTTTATTTTTAATACTCACTGAATTATTACGAACATTTTCTCGTTTCTTGCTGTTCGTTCCGTTCCGTCTCGTTCCGTCCTTCCGTTTTTCTTGTTGTTGGCTCTGTTGAAATCTCTTTCGTCAGCGTCGCTCCCCTTTCCCTCCCACCGATGGACACACACACATGCGAAAATATATCTCTCGTTCAGTCAGGCTTTATAATTGCGGCAATTTTTAGCCGCTTTTGGATTTTGTGACTTTAGTTTTTTTTTTTTTTTTTCCTCTTTTTTGGACCATAAAAGCCAGCAGCGAGACTTTCGGCTTAGCTGCTGGATGTTATGCAGTGTGACTCACACGGCTCACATGCCATATGTTTTTCGGTTTCAGAGGTCGGAACAATAGGGATTTGAGCCCTTTATTTAATCCCCCTTTTTGGACAATCGTTTGGGTTAACAGGTAACAAATTAAGATTGAGGGGGATTAGCGGTGTTTTTTTTTTTTCAATTACAAAAGATCCAGTGTTTTTTAATTTTCAGTTAAGATGGCATCACCACCTCAAAGTGAGCTTGGATTTTATTTAACAATTGAAGAATTTAAGAAACTAATTTTCGAATGTATTAAAACTCTTCTTATGCTGATTATAGTTCCAAAGATAATATTTTTCTAGTTGACCACTGCGTATACGTAATGTCGGTCAAGCCTTTAAAGTGAATTTTTATTTAGTTTATATTAGTTTTTTTATTTTATTATCTGAATAATTAACCAACACAGAAAATGTCAAATATTTCAGTTTATATTTCGGTTTTCCAATAAAATCCCACGTCTCGTATACGTAATATGTTGACCAATTGATTTTTAAAAATCAATAGACTATTTTTAAGCCACAGTATATTGGGCAAGGCATGACCACAGCTCTTTGAAAGAAAAATAAAAACTAGTTAAAGAATCGTTGGCCATTTAAATCGTTAAATTAAATGAAACTCGATGACAACATCCGCTACGGAAACTAAGCTTAAAACTTTGCCCAAAAAGTCACTCATACGCACCAGTGACCCAAATTAGAGGAAAACAAATTGTAAACGACTTAAAATAAAAAACACAACAGTTTCAAATGGCTTAAACCGAAAAAAAAATCCGCCTACGATAAAAAAGCCAACTGACAGGGGCCGCATTTATTGATTTCCCGGCTGACTTTGTGAGAAAATCTAAAAAAAAAGGAAAAAATCGTGGAAAGAGAGGGAAAGGGCGAAAAGGAAGAGCTGTTGTCGGTTGGGAACAACTTTCAACAAACATACTTTTGTGTCGTTTACAAATTGAACCACTTTAACCCCACACGAAAAACACAGTCGAAAAAAGGTGAAAATCTAAATAAAACCCAGGTTGAAAGTGAAAAAATGTCGCTAGGAAATTATGTAAGTCAAGTACACTTTGAGAAAAGGGTGGGATTGATTTGAAAAATTTAAAAAAATATATATAGACAAATACCAAGTCTTTAAATCGCTGATTAAATATTTTTTTTTTATGTACCAACGAACAACTAATTTAACAAATCCTGAATGGGAAAATTAATTCTTAAAAAACGGTGAAAAGTACTTATGGTTTTGAGACCGATTTTTTTAAAAATATTTTTGAAAGTTTTTTTTATTGTTGGTCGTTAAAAAAGAAATAATAATTATAATAATGTAAAAAAGTTTAGTTGTTTAATATTGAATAATAATTATGAACACATTTTATATTTTAATAAAAAAATGTGTAAATTGATCAAGCTATTTTAGACAAAAACAAGAAAGGAAGCTAACTTCGGCACGCCGAAGTTTGTATACCCTTGCAGATTGGTTTTCATATTTATATTATAAATTATAATGCCGAAAACAGACACTAAACGGAGTTTCATAACATTTTACCTGTACTTAATATGTTTACAGTTTGACAGTTACAGTTATACATTCCCAGCTTTACATTTTCTCTACATCTACGGATCACTTATATGGCAGCTATATTATATAGTTCTCCGATTTTCATAATATTGTTACCAAAATTCTGAAATAATACTAAAAGCTCATGTCTCAAAGTAGATGAAAATACGTTGAAAAACAACGAAGTTATAATTTTTTCTATCGCTTTCCCTATCGTTCCTATGGCAGCTATAAGATATAGTCGTCCGATTTTCATTAAATTTATACCAAAATTTTGAAATAATACCAGAAGCTCATGTCTCAAAGTAGATGAAAATACGTTGAAAAAGAACGAAGTTATAATTTTTTCTATTACCTTCCCTATCGTTCCTATGGCAGCTATAAGATATAGTGGTCCGATTTTCATAAAATTTTTACCAAAATTCAAAAGTAATATATAATGGCCATGTCTTAAAAATTGTGCAAAAATGTTAAAAAACATCCAAGTTATAATTTTTTTTCTAAAAATTTATCGAACATTTGTATGACAGCTATATGATATAGTCGTCTGATCCGGCCCGTTCCGACATATATAGCAGTGAGAGTATATAGAAGACTATATGTAAAGTTTCATTCAGATAGCTTTAAAACTGAGGGACTAGTTTGCGTAGAAACGGACAGACGGACAGACGGACGGACAGACGGACAGACGGACAGACGGACGGACAGACGGACATGGCTAGATCGACTCGGCTGGTGATGCTGATCAATAATATATATACTTTATAGGGTCGGAAACGTCTCCTTCACTGCGTTGCAAACTTCTGACTGAAATTATAATACCCTGCAAGGGTATAAAAAAGGGAGTGATTGCCTGAACTCCATCAATCTAAAATCGATTGTATTTGTTGTATTTATTGTATTTTGCCTTGCCCAACATAAATAGTCTTGATACAAAGCCGGAAAAAGTCATAAAAAAAGGCGCCCACAAACACAAACAACTTTCCCAAGAGAGTGGAGCATGGAGCGCGGAGAGAGTGAGAGTGGGAGAGAGAGCGAGTGAGTTTTTCTTTATTTTGGGAGAGTTGGCAGGCAACAACAATGGCCGTGTTGTCCCAGTTTTCACACACACTGTCCTTGACCTACTCCACTCAACAAAGTTGTCTAATGCGGAAAGCCTCTCTGTCTAATGGCGCTCCCTCTCGCTCGACATGTCGTAATAGAAAGCTCTTTCGCGTTGCCAAGCCAAAAAAGCATAATCGAAGGAGAGCGGCCAAGAGTGAGAGATGGCGGCCATAGAGAGCGAAAGCGGCGTGAGAGCGTGGCGTATGCAAGCGTTTGAGAGAGCTAAAGCACCAACACTTTGCCACCACCTGCATGTGTACGTATGTATGTTGATTATTTGTAAACAATACGCTTGACCTAAATTACAGTTACTTGTTCAGCGCACTAAAATTGCATATATCAAAAAGCTGCGGTGTGTGTGTGTGTGTGTGTATGTGTGCCAGTGTGTTTGCCTCTGTTTGTGTCTTAATTTTTCTCCGTTTTGCCTTTTGGATTTGAAATGCATATTTTATGGTGGCCACCTGCCGCCCATTGCCGCCCAATGCCAGCCCCCCTGTGTTCCTTCCTCTTCTTCGCATTTCTATTTTCTTTTTCTCTTTTTTTTTATTGCGGGAAAACAACCCCCGAGAATTGCATCTTGTAAATGAACACGGCGTTAGCTGCAATTGCAATCTGTTTTTGGACTTGAGCCACCCTCACAGTTCTCACTCTTACAGAGAAAAAAAAGGTACACAATAAAACTCCACCTTTTTATAGATTTTTTTATATTAATTAAGTATCTTTTACACATTTTATATTTTTTTTATATTTTACACATTTTAAATCCCATCCTTATAAAAGCGACCTCCGAATTAATATTAATGCATTTATTGGGCTTATTTATAATTGATTTCAAATTCGGCCCCCTGATCCCATTGCAAACTTCGGATTTCTAAACTTAATATACAAATAATTATTTGACTTATTGTTTATATTCATCCAAGTCTTTGAATATTCTATATCTGAGTATTTATTCCATACCTTGAACTTTCTTCTCATACAAATTATGATTATATTTTTCTTTCCGTGCACCCTTTACGCTCTTTTTCCGTGCTGCGCCATAAGAAGCGCATTTTATTGCGTTTCATTTAGCGTGTTCCCACATATATGTATGGACATACGAACGCACAATCGCACGGCCATACATACAAACGTATGACTGAGTGTTGTATAGTTTTTGTTTTGATGCCGCTGTACAATGTGGCGTATGCGCAATATACGTATGTAACTACAATTTCCATGTGCGTGCGCTTGTTTGTGCGCCTTTGCCAGCTCTTTGTTTTTGTCAAGCGCCGTTATGAGTTGGCTTTTAATGAGAAATATGAGAAATATATGAAATATATAAAAAGGAATAGGATTTTTAAATGGGTTTTCCCCTATAAAGGGGAGGGTTTCTTTTGGGGTTACCTAAAATATAGGAGAAATAAATTCAAATAAATTCTAAAATAAATACATTTGTTTGCAGCTCTATAAATTTATAATTGCAAAGGGGTTTATATTTTTTAATAATTAAAAGGATAATGATAGATAGTTTCTATACCTTTTAATGTTTTATTTTTCCATCACAGAGTCTAGTTTTAATTTTTTTTTTCTAAACCTGCAGGAAGGTTTGTTCTATACATTAATTTATAGTTATTTTCCAACCATCTAGCGAGTAAATTATAACCAGTAAACATTTAAACTAATTCAAAATTCTTATTAATTTTCCTTCTAGCTGTTCGAGCGGATCGGATGCGTGGTGGAAGGAACAAATTCGGACCGATGTACAAACGAGATCGGGCGCGGAAGCTGCAAGTGATGCGGCAGCGGCAGTTGGCGCTGCAGGCGCTTCGCAACTCTATGGGTCCGGACATAAAGCCAACGCCGATCTCGCCGGGCTACCAGCAAGCATATCCAAATATGAACATTAAGCAGGAAATTCAAATACCTCAGGTGGGTAAAAAATTAAACAATAAATGAAAATATAAATATAAATTCTAAAATATAGGTATATTAAATATATAATTACAAACCCTTCATTTCCAGGTATCCTCACTCACCCAATCGCCGGACTCTTCACCCAGCCCCATTGCCATTGCGCTGGGACAGGTGAATGCCAGCACGGGCGGTGTGATAACCACGCCCATGAATGCCGGCAACGGTGGCAGTGGCGGCGGCAATGGTGGGGGTCTCAACGGTCCCAGTTCCGTGGGCAATGGCAATAGCAGCAACGGTAGCAGCAGCAGTACCGGTGGCGGCAATAACAACGGCAGCAGCACGGGCAACGGTGCGTCCGGCGGAGGAGGAGGAGGAGGTGGCAACAATGCGGGCGGCGGCGGAGGAGGCGGCGGTGGCAATAACTCTGCCGATGGCCTGCATCGCAATGGTGGCCACGAAGCTGGAATAGGATCTCTGCAGAACACGGCCGACTCGAAATTGTGGTATTTAGCCAAGAAAAGAAATGTCAACCGAAAACAGAACCCTAAAGTTATATTCGAAACTTCGACAAACGAACTCACTAACGAAAAATGCAAATTTCTTTTTATTTTTATTTGAAATTTTATGGAAAAGGATTCAATATGATTATATGCAGCAAATATTGGAAATAGGGCAGGCGGTTATATTGTTTACAGTAGATTTTTATGGTTAATATAAATTAGATATTCAAGGGATACATTTTTAGAGATCTCTGAATTTTATCAGCTTTTAAAGCGAAAATTTTTACGAGTTTTTTTAATGATTTCTAAGGAAATACAATTAATTAAGATTGTGACATTAATTCTTCAAATAATTTTAGATAATAATAATCGCCTGCCTTTCCTTCAATTGGCTGCAATTATCACTTGATGAACGGTCCTTCAATTTGAAGATATTTAAAGTTTTATAAACCATAATTCCTTTTATATTTTTTCTCTACAAAAAAAAAACCAAAGCTTTGATTCCGGCACACATCCTTCGAGCACAGCCGATGCGCTAATCGAGCCATTAAGGTGAGTTTCAAAAATATATCTTTAAAATTAATTAAAGTTAAAATTAAAATAAAATAAAATTAAATTACTGAAATTCTCTTAAATTAAATTCCCTTAGAGTCTCACCAATGATTCGTGAATTTGTGCAATCAATCGACGATCGGGAATGGCAAACGCAACTGTTTGCTTTGCTGCAAAAGCAGACCTACAACCAGGTGGAAGTGGATCTCTTCGAGCTAATGTGCAAAGTGCTCGACCAGAACTTGTTCTCACAAGTGGACTGGGCACGGAACACGGTCTTCTTCAAGGACCTCAAGGTATGGCCAGCGTCCTTATCCCCTTACCCGTTCGCGTACCCGTTTCCATCCACAAATCAGAGTAAATCAGTGAACAGAAAACAGCAGACAACACAGACATCGGCAGACAGCGGCCGCAATACATGGTTCAAAGCCAGAAACCAGTTTCCAAGCTATAGGGGCCAAGTCTGCGGCATGTTATGTAAACCAGCGACGACTGGCGGCAGCGACGCAGGCAGAATCTCTGCATTGAATTTCGATTTCATTTGGCGTCTGACCTACTTAGCCAGCAAAGCCGAACCAGTCAGTCAGTCAGTCAGCCAGCCAGCTCAGTCGCTCAGTGACGCAACTGATGTGCTCACCCATACCAGCAGCCCACCAAGAGCGGCAGAGAAACTCAGACAGAGACTGAGTCAGGGGAGAAACTGAGAGAAACTGAGCGCAACACAGAGCGATAAAAGAGAGGGCGTGTCGTAATACCAGAGCATCCAAAAGCTAGGCCTTAACATATATCTCCATACCACATATCCACCATACAAAAACGTATCTATTGAACCCCTAATGCGCGTGCGGTTGCCACTTGAAAGCCTGGAACAACATTCTGTTCTTTATCGAAATTCAATATATTTTGTAATGAAAAGTATTTAAGATGTAAGATAATATAAAATTTAAGGATATTTCGGTTTATTTTTAAATATGTTTTATGAATTTTTGACAATTATTTTTACTTCTGATTAATGTATATCGATTATGTTATATCATAAATATCGTAAACTTTATTAATTAAAAATATTAGATATCTTAAAATATTACATTTAATGTTAAAATATTTTTATTTACGAAAAATATCAGAACAAATATTTCTTTATTAATTTGTTTCTCTTATCGATTTTATTATTCCAATATCTTAACAGAATATCGAACGGAATGTTATAATATCGATTAATATATCAACTTTTTCATCATATATCGATAAATATCGATATCTAAAAATCGAAAAGTATGGAGATAATGGAGCTAAACTGAATTCAGATTCGTTATCAGATTTGTTCTAAAAATACATTTTTGAAATGTATTTAAAAATTAAAATTAAAAAGAAACTTAATGATCCAGTTCCAAGTGGCAACTGTTCTTCTTGTCCCTATATATCTGCCTTAATCTTATATATTTCTTTATTTATTAATCAATTGTTTTTCTATATAATTTCGGAACCCCCAGGTCGACGATCAAATGAAGCTGTTGCAGCATTCGTGGTCGGACATGCTGGTCCTTGATCACCTGCACCATCGCATCCACAACGGCCTGCCCGACGAGACGCAGCTGAATAATGGCCAGGTCTTCAATCTGCTGAGTCTGGGCTTGTTGGGTGTACCACAGTTGGGCGACTACTTCAACGAGCTGCAGAACAAGCTGCAAGATCTGAAATTCGATATGGGCGACTATGTCTGCATGAAATTCCTAATCCTCTTGAATCCAAGTAAGGCCGTATAAGACTTCTCCTGGCAGATTGCCAACCTTCTAAGCGTTTTCGTTTTTGTTGGTGTTTCAGATGTTCGGGGTATTGTCAACCGGAAGACCGTCTCCGAGGGACATGATAATGTGCAAGCCGCTTTGCTGGACTACACCCTCACCTGTTATCCGTCAGTTAATGTAAGTAAAACGAGTATATATGTATTTTAAATATTTAATAAACTTGATTATCATTTGCAGGACAAATTCAGTAGGCTAGTGAACATCTTACCGGAAATCCATGCCATGGCCGCACGCGGCGAGGAGCATCTATACTCCAAGCACTGTGCCGGCAGTGCGCCAACCCAAACGCTGCTCATGGAGATGCTACACGCCAAGCGGAAGGTGTAGAATATTGGGGACACTTCAGCAGATGACACGGAATACTTAATCATTTATGAAATGTAAATAACGAGGCGAGCGGAGGCAGCCAGAGCGAATGGAGGAGGATACAGAATTCCATATTTGATATGGAGAATGCATCATCACTACTACCACAACCACCAACCACCACCAACAACTATCACACACATATACACCACACACACACACACACACACATTTGTTGATTCAATGTTTAATTATTATTACGTTTACGGTTAGGTCTAGTTTAACGTTAAACTAATTAATTAATTTTCGTCTTAAATTAAAGCGTGTTTTTAATTTGTGTAGAGTCGCGTCCCCCGATAAAGCAATTTTTAAAAGCGAGAATATATTGTAGAATGTATGGTTAAAAAATTTAAAGGGATGCAACGATCACCCCCTCCCAAAAAAAACTTTCAAAAGAAAAGCATAAGAAATTTTATTTTTATATATATTGTACCTCTACATATACGATACTTATGGATAAAATCTATATATATATTCGTATATATATATATATATATATATATATTTTTATGTAAATTGGCGTTACTTTTTAAGCGTCCTGCAGCAGCAACACTTTTAACACTAGTATTTTCGGTTTTACTCTGTAGTTGTTTTATTTTTTCCAATTATCTTTCATTTTTTGTGACTTTTCGCGCGCGCCAAGTGTCTTGCATAGTATTTGCGTCTAATCTAAATATTATAGAGAAGGAAAAACGAGGGAAAATCCATACAAAGCAAAAATTATAGGTGTTCATAATGGTATGAATGTAGTATGTGTATATTATTAAATGTAATTTCAATTTAAGTGTGTAAGAAAACAATGCAAACAACTACCTACAAGAAACAAGAGGATGAAGAAGATGGCAAGAAATTATATATATACATTATATATTAATAAAGAACATGTTTAAAACGGCATACATATAAAGATATATATATTATATATTTAAATTTAGCTGCAACTGTTTCAACTGTTTGTAAATTTCAACCAAAAAAAAGCGTAATTGTTTCAGCATCCCAGAAAGTGTGTAAAGCTTATTATTATCTAAAAGAAAAACATAAAACATTTATTTTGTGCAAAGCAGCAAAATTATAAATAAGCTTTCTAAAGTGAAAAAGAGTAACAGAGATGCTTAGTCAGTAATTTGGGCAATGAGAGCGGAACAGAAATCGAATTAAATACAAAAACAAGAAGAATATATATTGTAAAAAATCAAAAATATCGAAATAAACAAAACCAAATAAAGTGTATTTAATGAAAATAAAAAACGATTCACTGACACATTTTCAATTCGAATACTAAGTTTAATTAATATTCTTGGATATCGGTTCGTTTCTGCTTCATTGCCTTCATTTTTGCCTGGGCATTTTGCGCTTAAACAAAACGTACCTTATAAACTTAAATAAAAATATTTGAAATTAACTTCAGAACACACACACATTTCAAATTTAAAACAAAGATCGTTTAATGATGTTTCACGAATATTACAATAGAATATTACAATGGCAAAAGCACGACGACATCTACTATATAGGTTTGCCCTAGGTATACACATTATAAATATACATATACTTAGGTCTCTGTATGTATTATAAAAATGTAAAAAAAAGGTAAACAAAAATGATGGGTAAATAATGTGTACAAGTTGGCAATGCGGAGAGTTAGTGTTGAGGTTTAGAGTGGATCAGTTATATATATTTAAAAGATGTGTAAGTAAAGTAAAGGCAAGGCAAATTGTTGACGTCTAACGTTATATTTAAAGAAGAAGAAAATGCATACACTTGCAACATATTTAAATGTATATTCTTCAGGCGTGTGTGAATGGCGTTTAGGTATTTGTTTATTGTGTAAAATTGATTACGATGTGAACCTGTTATTGCAAATGAAAAGTGATTTTAAATATTAAGAAAAATCTATATATACATACTATATAAACCCATAAAAAAATACAAAAAAAAAAGAAGGATCTAACAGTTATATATATAATATACATTAAATGATTAATTATAAATGCAAGCAACACACACACACACAACACACACATTTTAAGTTTGAAAAACTGTTAAAAAGAGAAAAATCATTTAACTAGAAACAAAACTACCTAAAAACAACTACAATGCATATTTGGATCAATTTGATTTAAAATATGCTTTATTATTAATTATGTTAACATACAATTTTCATCTCAGAGATGTTTCAAACATGCAACCAACAAAAGCAAAGTGAAATAAAAAGTAATTATAAAAACGAAACTCTGGTTTCTTTTTAAGCCGAAGCACTTTATTTGCAGAGACACAAGCGCTACTAGTTAAATTTTTAAATTAAGACATGTTAAAGTTTTGCGTAAAGTCGTATTCGATGGTTGGGATAACGGTCTGAACGAATTTCAGGAATATTATCAAATATAAATGCACGCCCAGCTGGCCGCCGCCCTCCTCCACCGTCTGTATGATCTTCTTCATGATGTCCGCATGGCGACACGGATGCACCGAGGCCATATTGGGTCCCGGGAGATGCGGATGCGACTCCATGGTCACCGTCTTCTTGGCATGATCCTGGGATACATCCTCGTACATCTGCTCCACGGTCAGGGGTTTGCGCTGCTCATCGTACCCCACCACCCAGAGGCGTGGCGTCTGATAGTACTTGTCGTAGCTGATGTGCAGGTCGTAGGTGCGCGTATGGAGCACGGCCGAGTCACCGCCACCGCTGGCTTCGCCACCCGCCGTTGCTCCCGCTGATGTGCCAGCTGCCTTTGGTTCCACCTCGGGTTTTCGAGTGGTTGTAGCCACGGCTGGATCGACTAGCTCCAGCATGCCGCTCTCCTCGAAATCATCCATGTCTATGGCCTCGTCATCATCCTCGTCCTCATCTTCGGCTCCAGGTGCAGTGCCTGGTGCAGATTTATCGCTATCTGGAGTGTGCATTTCATCCTGCAGGAGATATTTTATTATTTTTCTAACTTGGTGTTTAAATTAAGGATATTTCACCTTCGTCTCCTCCATTGTCAGTTCACAGATTTTATCCTCCAGCTGGGTGGTGCCGTCATCATTGAGCTGGTGGGTCTCAACCCAACCGCCATCGCCAGACTCCTCCTCCACCAGGGTCTCCTCGCCAACGTATTCCATCTGCTTACAGCGTCGATAGCAGGGCACATTGCGCGTTATCAGGAATTGCTTATCTGAATAGAGGGAAATGGGTGATGAACAAATTATTTTAGTGATTTTTAATGGGTTTTAAATTGGTAATTACTCACCCTTTGGTAGGTAAGGTTTCGTCTTGGTCTCATCTCCGGCCGCCCATTGCCAGGTGGGGCAATGATGCACCAAGTGATCGCCGGCGGCCACAAACTCCTCGGGTGTCAGGACGCCTGTCTCACGGAATTTGGATTCCTGAAAAAAGAAAGGGGAAATTTAAGTGGCGACTCTATGAAAACTAAATCGGCGACAGTCTGGCGACGAAATCCGGTTTTATGGCCATCAAGGGAATGGGAAATCGTTGCGGGGAAAATGAGCGAATCAATATACACACAGCAGAGAGCCCTTATCTTTGCTGGCTTTCCTTTGTGCTGAAGCTGGCTTGTATAAATACACTTTTGCACCTCTGTTTTTGTGTTTAATCACAGCAATAGTAACAAAATTTTTCTTTTTAGATTGTTGTTGCACTTGCAATCAGTTACCTTCAGTACGGGCGTTAGATATTCGGCCACATTGAGCGCCGTGCCTTTTACGGTATTGAGTACGCTTTGCATTTCGTCGTCCCGTTGAGTATTGCCTTCTAGTCTAAACGCTTAAACTTAATAAATACAATTAACGTTGACTCTCTCAATTGACTTGCAATTCCCAGCAAATTGTTTTTGTTGCTAGCGACAACAACAGGGCGCTGCGGTCACACTAGGTCAATTGACTATCGATAAATGTAGGGAAATTTAGTATTTTTTGTTAACCTTTACCAGCTCCGGTCACACTGTTCCGATTCGCGCACATTGTTTTCAACGTTTTCCAAACCATCGAAATGGATGAAAAGATTCAGCCAAAATTTGTGCTGCCTTCGCCCAAGTTTGACAAGCCAAATGCTCCCAGCACGGCCTCACACCACTACCTGACCCCCAGTGGGATGACCCTGCTGCCAAGGGCCAAGCAACCGCCGCCCATGTACGGCGCACGAGGATCCACAGTGCCTGCCAAGTACCTGGCCAACGAAACGGTTGGTGTCCTTAAATACCCAAAGATTCTCCCCATTTAAAGGTTTATTTATACCCAAGAATCACCACAGTGATGTGCCGGCCGCTCCACCTGTTTACAAGTCTCCACCGCGGCCCGAGTATTGTCACACCTGCGGCATGATGTTGGCCAATTCACAGGACATGAAGCTTCACCTGGACAAGCACGAAGCTTGTCCCGCCGGGGATTGTGATTTTGCTGCCCTCCACAACATCCTGGAACAGCATATAGAAGCTAATCACATTACGGGAGACTATAAAAAGGTGAAGAAGGTGTGGACGGAGGTTGAGCTGGCTGCTTGGCGGGCAGAACGAAGGAAAAGGTCAGTTGGGTATTTATATATTTTGTTATTTTATCTTATTAAGCATATTTTCTTTGTAGATTTCCCACTGCCGCCAATGTGGAGCAAGCCAGGCTGGCCAAGGAGCAGCGTATGAAACGCGGTGAGCGCTTGGAGGCCTCCAAGTCTCGTTTTGGAAACCATGAAGATCGTCAGCGAACGCGGCCTAAAAGTGATCACAAGGATCGTGTCAAGCCCAACAAAAAGAAGAAAAGGAGGGGACAAAGAAAGCCAAATGAAGGGAAAAGGAGAGAAGGAACTAGTAATGAAGTTAAGGAAGCAGAAGCCACAGCTACTGCTGAGAAGAAGAGCATTGAAGAGGGAGCAAAAGACAAGCAAACGAATCTCTTTTCGGGCAAATTCCAGGGCACTGGACAAATGAAGGATTACAAGCACTTTAAGGATAAAATTGCCAAAAAGGATAATGCTTTGATAGGCCTGCTGGGAATGTACGGCTCAGACAGTGAAGAGGAAAGTGGGACAGAGAGTGAGGAAATGGAAGAGGATATAGATGAAGAGGCAGAAGATCTTAAAACTCCCACGGAATGCGTACAAAATGAAAGTCCAGATCTTGAAAAAAGCGAATCAAGCAGAGAAATAATTAACAAGGAAAATACAATTTCACCAGCCATCCAAAACGCTTCTAACTCGGGTGACATTTCAACTCCTCCAGCTTCATCTTCAGTAAATTTCACCTCTAAAGTCCAAAATGAACCCGAAGCAACTTCACCTGCTAAGGAGCACAATTCCTCTTCCGATGAGGCACCCGATGAAGAGCCTTTCCAACGCGTAACTGAAACCATAATCCAAGAAGATCCTCCCAAGCCGGAACCCAAGGAAGTACCTAGACCTCAACTTGCTCCCAAACGAGCTGCACCAAAGCGTGTTTATGGCTTGAACTTCAAGAAGGCTCGCAAGACAACGCAGCAGAATACCTTGTTATCCAAACTCCTAGAATCAGATATAAGACATGAGAGGAATGTCCTGTTGCAGTGCGTGCGTCATGTTTGTGAAAGGAATTTCTTTGGCATTGGGCAAAGTAAAGAACCCACGAAAAGTGATGCTGCGGAGGCTCAAATGGTTCCTAGTTGTGATAAACCAGAGGATAAAACCTCCGATTTGTAAACATTTAAAGTTAAAATAGTTTTAAGCCATTAAGAATACAAAAGTTGCAAATAGATTTCTTGTTGGCTTTATTTTAGTACAAACTTACATATGTATTCGTTTCTTAAACTTAATTGGTGGACATGGAGGAATCACTGCTGCCCATGGGATGATCTCCACCGCCAGCGGGTCCCCCGCCGCCACCAGCCCCGGCTTGCTGTTGTTGTTGCTGCTGCTGCGCCGCCTGCTGTTGCTGCTGCTGCTGTTGTTGCTGCTGCTGCTGGGCGGCGGCAGCATGCTCCTGTTGACGCTTTTGTTGTTGGCGGGCAGCATGCGAATGCTTTGCCTTAGTCTCCTCCAGCTCACGGACTCGGGATCGAGCATGCTGGATGCGATGCCAGGCCATTTGGAGTACCTTGGCAGACGCATAGCCGGATCCCTCGTGCGGCTGACCCGTGGACACTTGGGTCAAATAGTTGATCTGCTCGGACAGCTTTGATTCCACGCTGGACAAGCTCTTGAGGAACTGCTGCGACTGGGTTTCGGCATTTTTCTGAGACGACTTCTCCTTGCCCAATTCCTGCAGTGCTTGGCCTGTGGAAATGGGTAAGTTATAAACAAATGCTCTGGGGGTTTCGGCATGTCTTCTTACTCACCTGCACTCTGCATGCACAGGATTATCTCCTTCTCAATCTCATCCAGAGCATGTATCTTGTCCAGGGGATTCATCTTGTTTCAAGTTGTGCAAATTTAATAATTATAATTTGTGTTTAAAAACAAGACAAGACGAATGTATAAAAATTGGCTTTTGTTTTGGTAGTGATTAGAGTGGCCAGTTTTGCGTTTATCGATACAAAAGTCTGTAATCGATAAAACACAATCTAGCGAGGACTCGGACCATTGCAATTATACGGGCGTTGCCAGACTGATAAAAAGAGAGATAAGAAACTTTCATACTTTGTTTTCCCTGCCAATGAAAATTCAACTTTTCCATTCATATTTTAATGAAAGCTTGAATTCATGCAAAAAACATAATTCTTTTTGTTTAAACCTATTTCCCTAGATTTTAACAGATTTTTTTATATAAATTGATATATGATTTATTAATTCGAAATTTATACAATTTAAAACGTTTTTATATGCATTTTTGGTTTAAATATAACTGATTTCCAATCCGGCATACTGATCCATTTTCAAAAGTAAGCTTCCCTTATTAGTTTTTACTTTTACTTTTAGATTTTCCCTCGACTACTTTCCCTTACTGGCCAGTCCTATCCATTCGTATTTAAAGTAATCCTTCGGCAAGGGTATGCAGTTCTCATGCAACTCGATGGCATCCTTGTCCATATTCCACACCATGAAATTTCGGCCACAGTCTATCTGCTTGTGGAGGGCAAAGTGCACTCGGTCCACAAAATGCGACTGACACTGCCGACACTCGAAGACCCGATCCTGTTTATCCGGTCGCAGGAACTTCCTTATATTCCGGATCTCAAGAAGACCTCGAAAGCCACCCACCACATCTGTTTGGAGGACGAAAGTGGGCGTGTTTTCCACATCCTCTCCGCGAAGGAGATAAGGAACCGTATACAATTCCTTGGTGGTGGTGCAAACTCGAAAGCAGTAGATATTTATGCTTAAAGAAGCTGGAATGGATCGGCCTTTGTCTCCATGCTTGAGGTAATTTTCAGCAACCAGGGCCAGGTCACTGGAGGACTGCTTAACACCACGTTCCAGGCATCCGGCTGCATTCTTCACCCGATATTGTAGGGGAAGCTTGGAGACACAAGTAGCATTAGGTGGATACAAGTGTCGCTTGGCAGTCACCTTCATCCTTTTAATAACACAGGCCTCCAGGGGAACCCTTTGATGGAGCAGCACATAGTTGCTAATCTTCTCCAGCAGCATGGAGAATATCATGTCCACTGCCTCGCCAATATCCAAATGGTGTTCAATATTCAAGGGACTGCTCTCGAAATACATTCTCTCCTGCTTCACGTCCACATAGAATCCAACACAGACCTCCAGTTTTTCAGTCCCAAAAATAAGGAATCGCAAGAGTTGAGGCACTGCATCCATGCCCGCGTCCAACAAAAAGTCATTCGTCCTTGGCGTGATGCTGCCATCGCACAGCATAAACACTTCAATGTCCTGATCCTCAATTGTTTTCAGGATCTTTTGCTCCTCGGAACCGATTTTTATGTGGTGACTCCGGTTGTTTGCGGCATCGTTGTGCCAGTGATGACTGTACGGCTCGTCCACTGGTGTACGAGTTTCGCAGGTGGGACAATCCGCTCTCCGGGAACCATTTACAAACCGCTGATGTCGGAAAATTCGCATGCCCTCCGCGGTCTCAAAGATATACCGGGATTGTATACGCCTGGCCATGTTTGGGGAGTTACTGATTCTAGATGGAAAGACTCGAGGTAATTTATATAAGGAGTAATAGGGTTACAGGTAGTAATTAAGAAGAGGTTAAGTAGTCAGGTATATGTGTTAGGTTAAACCTCTCTCCTCACCTGGTCTTCAGGGAACCTGCAACCCAGCAGGTAGGAATTTCTTGCTCTATATCAACATATGGCTAAGCTTCTCTATATTCAAAAAAGGCTATTAGGAAAAATCTTGACAATTTTATATGATATCCTAAGGGTTAAACAATAAGGATACATCTGGCTCTTAGTCACGTTTAGAAAAATATGACCCTGATTTCGATACAATGTTTGGAAGTTAAGGGGGGGCATCTGAGTAAAATGAAAAAATCGAAAAATTAAAAAATTCTTTAGGGTCTTAAAAATAACATACAATAAAATAGATTCCGGCAAAAGTGTCTAAGTGTCGAAATTTCCATTCTACTTTAAAAATTTTTGATTGGCTTTTTCATTTGGCCAAAAAAATTCCAGAGAATCGGTTTTTTCTTCCCCCCTTAACATATATATTTTTAGAACCATGTAAAATGTTATGAAAATGTTAGAATTGTTTCTTTAAAGTCTCTGTAAAAATAAAGGAAGTCCTAATTTATAGAAAACATCCTTAGCATAGCCATAAAATGTGGTTTATATCTGCTTTATCGTAAATTCTGAAACATGCCATAATAAAACTACCCTTAATGGACGATTTATGGCTAAGAAATGAATCCTGACTAAAATTGTTCTCTGCACAAAATATCCCAATGCAACCAAATGCACAGAACCAATATTTTAAAACAATAAAATACGTTTAATATTTTGAGTGTCTCTTAGTTTATAACAAGAAGGAAAGGAAAGTTAGTAAATACATAAAATATTATCGGGTTGTCTGGGGATGCTGATTATTATTATCGTCATTTATCTAGCATAAAATTCTTTAAAAAGTTGTTTGAAAAATATATCAATAAAAAAGTCTTAGGACAATGCCCAAGTAAAAACTCCTGTTAAAAACTATATTTCTACATAATGAAGCACTAAAACAAATATATTTTAAAATTAATCCAGTGAGTTATTTTAGGAAATGACTTTTTACCATGATTTTAGAGGAGTTCTACAGGTTTTTCAAGGAATTTTCTTATATCAAAGTAAGAATAACCCGACATTTAGACATTCAGAACTGAACATAAAATATCCTTATGATTTTCTGGCTAACCGACAATTTAACAGAAGCCACAAAAAATTGTCTTAAAAAATATCCTTGTGTTAAGGACCCCTTTGCAACGGAACTTTTAACATCGAGCGATGGAATTGTTAGCATAAAGGACATTTTTACACAATCAGGCCTGTTCTAGTTTTCATTCGGAAGTGAATTTGATAACATTTGCGGATTTCCCTTTAACATAAGCGAATTTCCCTTGGTGATTTAAGGAAATTTTTTTTAATTTCCCTTAAATTCCCAAACAAAATCAGCTGGTCGCTTTCAACAAAAGAGATTCCCTTGTCTAAGATTTGCTAAAAGGGGCTGATCAAATTTTGGCCCGCTGTAGTCTCCAACTCATAGATAGTAATGAAGCACTAATTTAAATAATAAAATCTAAGGAATAAGCATTAAGACAGGAAATAAACATTTTGAAATATTTGTAATTGCAATCAGCTGTTCTGGTGGCAAAATGCTGGAAAGTAGAGTTGCCGAGGGTTTAGAAAAAATTCCCTTCGCATAAAATTTAGTTCAGTTTGTGGATTGAATTGGCTGGTATTTTAAAGAATAACACTTTTTCATATACTTTACCTAATAGCAGATATTTTAATTGTAAAACAACATAAAAAGTAATTGTTCGAAATTAATCTTAAATATATGCCGTTTTTTTTGAAACGCTGACAACCCTTAAATGGTCCCTCTCAAATACGACACAGCGGCAGCGGATTTGCAATAATGCTGAAGGTTAGAATCGAACCGATTTTAAGGTGCACCCACAAAATAATTATTTATAAATCAAGTACTTTAGTATTAGCTAATTCAATTATGCAATAATGTTCCCAAAACCTCTAGGAATAGATTACAATTAACATTTGTAATATACATAATCGCATTGTATTTTAAAATACTTAATTTCTGATTTTGCGGATTTGAATCCGCCGGCCAAATGGCACACGGAAAGTTTCCGTGCGTTTCGTCTGCAAATTAACAGAGACTTAACAGAGGGAAATACGAATCCGTAAAAATTTTTCGGAAGTGAACACTAGAACAGGTCAGGGAAATCCGAATCCGAATAAATTTTACGGAAGTGGAAACTAGAACAGGCCTGAATGTAAAAGCCAAGAGAAATCCACATTTTGGTTAACAGGAAGGTCCTAACATTTACACCTAAAGGAGAAGGCACAGGACATCGTTACAAAACTCCCATGCTAAAAATTACCGACCTTTTAACACCACTGTTGCTGAACCGTCTTTTCCCCTGCAACTCGAACACCCAGCCGGGGTTGAAAGCCAACCCGAACCTGGACTTCCCAGGACGATGTGTGTTCCCAGGCCGGTGGAATGCGGTTCGGTTTCGTTGCAAGGAAAAGTGAGCGATGTAGTGGCGGCGGCAACGGAGCGTCGCAGGATTACTTCTGCGGTGGCCCTGTTTGCCTGCTTGGCCCGTTTGCCTGATGGCTGATGGCTGTTGGCTGTTGCTTTATGGCTTCTTTAGTAGTTGGAGCATATTTAAGGCGTTTCGTGCGTCCTTCACACGCACAGGGACTACATATGTATATTTATACTATATGTAGACCCACACACACACATACTTTGTGTTTTTGTCGCTGAGAAACCTCACGTGTCCCTAGCAGCTTATGTGGGTGAACTACAAAAAAAAAAAAAAAAAAAAAAACAAGAAAATAAAAATAGAGTAAAAATATATACACACATACATGTCTATGAAAATAGAAACAAACGAAAAAGCCGACAGGGGGAAAACTGCTGGCTGGCATCTTTTTACGTTTTTCGGTTGTTGATTTTCCTATTTTACTCGTTGAATTTCCCTTTTTGGCCGTGGAAATTATGAGAGCTCGTCTCTTACAATTTTCTGTTACTTTTCGGCTTCGTTTCTCCTGCTTCTACCACTTCTTCTTCTTCGTAGTCCTTTGCTATGTCTTTGTCCTTTGGTGTCTTGGCATCCTGACGCCTGTTTCCCTGTTATTTTGTTTGCTTTTTTGTATATTTTCGCTCGTTTTGTTTTGGTCTGATTAAAAGTAAAGTTTTTGCGCGGGTTTTCGTTTATTTTTTTTTGCTGCGAATTCTATTTTAATTTGGGTCCCAGACGGCCAAAAGGAGGCGGCTAACAACCTGAATTTTTAGCCATACATTTTGGTTTTTATTGAGGCCTCAAGGCGATGGCTTAAGCTGTGCTTTTGAACCCTTATTTTAAAATTATTTACATTAAACTGTTTAATTTTGACTTTGTTTTAATTGAATTAAAGGTAATAAATTGATAAAATAAATCAAAAACATTTCGTACATAAAAATACACTTCACTTCGTAGCGTAAATTATTTTAAATTGCCCTTTAATCATTCACTTTTTGAATCCCACACTCGTTTCAATTAAAGTATTCAATTATGCAACTACTTTTTCATTAGTTCGATTCCAACTCTCTTTGGTTTTTATTTTATTTGACCCATTTAAATGCAGGCCTCGAGTAACAACTATCAATTACTAAATTATTGATGAATATTAATGGAAGCCATAAAAATGTTATTTTTGTTTTTCTAAAGATAGCTGGGAAAACCCAAAGAAAAGGCCATCGAGTAAACAAAGAGGGTTAAAGTCTATGGGTCAAGTTGGGGGTGAAGCTCTTCTCCGGCTTATTCCCTATTATGGCTGTGTGTACATGTTGTTGTGCCAGGACTTTTACTTTTTTTGCTGGGCCCATCTTTCTCTTCGACACCGTCCTTTGCCGTCACCCTGCTCTTACCTGGGTAATTAACACTTTGTCAAGCTCATAAATCTTTAAACATTGATTTTTAATGGTGGCATTTTAACGCTTCGCCGAGCAGTGGGGTTTTCAGCTACCCAAGGATACGTGCAAACTGCCGGGTGGAAGGACATCCGTAGAGGCTCAATACCCGTGGGAAAATTAATAAATTATTGGGGTCCTGTGGGGTAGGGTGTGCACGTGATTGTTTGTTTTTCTTTCCCTTAGATCTTACCTGTCGGTGGCTGCATAAATTTGGGTACCGAAAAATGGCTGTGTTAAGCCTGTGTAAATCTTGGATAAGACCATGTCACTCAATTTTTTTCTACAACGGTTTGTTTTTAAAAAATATTTATCTTTAAGGAAGTAAAGCATTTGTATACCTTTGCTGGGTATTTTATTTTTAGTTTGAAGTTTGCAAATCAGTGAAGGAGTCATTTTTGACCCCATAAACCATATATATTCTTGATCAGCATTAACAGGGGAGTCTTTCCTGGAGAAAATACATTTTTTCAATTTTTTCCAAATTTGATAAGGGGTTACATCATTAAAATTCTCAAAAATTGTTAAAAATTTTAGTTTAATAAAATTTAAAATTTAGTAAGCAGATTTGTTACCCTATTAAAAACTAACACAGAAAAGCTTTTCGAATCGAAATTAATACATTTTTGGCTTAGTAATGCTCAATTTTTGATTCAATGCCTTAAACCTCTAGCAAAAGGGTATACAATTTTCGGCTTCCCTAAGATAGTTTCCTTTTTTTTTTATATTTAATTTATATTTTTTGTGCAATTTCTTGTTGCCTTTAAGCTGTTTAAAACTATTTCCATAAAATAAACCACATTTTTCTCTTCCAAAAACTAAATAAAACAAGTGTCAGCATTCAAGCAGAAACCAATATCCATTGCATCTACACAAAATTCGATTTTATATTTATTTAAAAAATATATATAAAAACATAAATAAGCTGGTACGAACGTATGTTGGCATTTCTCTTTGAAGCTTTTTCGGTATTAAATGCATTTAGTGCAGTTTCGACACAAGC